CACAGGTGGTCGCACTGACAGCCCCGAGGATGCTGTCCACTTCCTCAGGGGCAACAGGATCTATTTATTATTCTAATCTATCTATTATTCTAATATCTTTCTTGCATTAGGAGACCCTGGCCTAGGGTAAGATTTGACTTTTTTGTATATGGCCATTAACATTCAAAGCTTTCAACTTTGTGGAACAGTGTCCCGTTTCTGAGATGTCTTACCTTGTTCCCCAGTCCATACTGGCAGCTATAGGAAACCATGGCTAGGTCGTCGAAAAGGCGTAGAACTGTTCGGCAGTGGCTCAGTTGTGCTGAGACAGCCAGAAGGCTTTGCCCAAGTGATGACTCCCTAGGTTGTCTCCTGGCCACCAAAATCCCTCCAGCCAGCTGGCAGCCATAACAGATTGTGCGTATCTTATATAGAAAGATTTATGGTATAAAAACATTACTACCGTTTGCTAATAAAAAAGCCATGTAGCCCCAGAAAACTCAAAGTTATGATAAACTTGGAGAGCAAGACAAAGTCAGAAGGCGATCTGTAGGCCGTATTTTTTTCATATCCTCTTACAAATACTTTAATAAGTATTTGTGCAAATACTTCACAAATGTCTTTAAACCAAGAAGGCTGATACATTTCAGAGATAAACTAGCTTTTCTCTCCCCACTCCAATTTATTATTTTTTTAAAACCCATTGATTGCTATTTAATAAAAACAGCACTATGACACTTTAATAAGTTATAGAAAACAGGAAAAAAAACCCAAGTGTATTTCAGCTTTTAGCATACTAAATTTTAGATGAACATGGTACAGTAAAAGTAAAATCTATTATATGTGGAGGGTTTAATTGTAACTTGGAGAATGGGATTATGCTACAATTGATGCTAGATTTGAGAGGCTCTGAGAAAGATCCTTTGGGGGGCTCACCAATATATCTTTACAGCCTCAAAATTACCAGCAGTACAGTAGTGGGCAGGGATCTCTTGGGTATCTGTATGGTATATAAATTAGAATTGGAAGATTAGGCAGCATATAAATGTTAGTAAATAAAAAGTAAAATTGCTAGATACATAATTAGTGCCTTTTAATCTATCATCCAATTGCATGCTTTATATTTGTTTTGTGTGCTACATTTTTTCTGAATGTCCATTTTACCTGCACATATGAATTTTAAATGTCATGTCATGAGAAACAGGAAGGATATTTTTTATAGTTTACTTAAAAGAAAAGATCCAATGTTAAAAAATAGAGATAAGCATACACTGCAGCAACCACTAAGACTGTCACCTGAAACATACTTTCCTCTGTTCTTCCTTCTGAGTCTCTCTCTCTCTCTCTCTCTCTCTCTCGGAACAACCAATATTATAAAATAACATGTAGGCTTTCCAGTCCTTCAAGATCCTGGACTCACAATTCAGCCTTTCTCTGTCTGGCATCTGTCGGATCTAGTGGGCCATAACCTCTATGGCACCGCTGGTTGAAGATTATAGGATTTACAGTTCAACACACGCAGAGAGCACCGGCTTGAGGAGGGGTGGGTGGGGAAGGGAGCGTGGAGGAGCTGGCAGGTGCCCAAATTCGGCTCTTCTGTTCGGTGGAGTTTTGATTAGTTCCAACTTGCGCTTCCCAGTTGTGCAGGATTACAACTCCCATGGCCGCACTGGCGGTGGATGCTGAGAGCTGAAGTCCCACACACAGGGAGGGCAGAATTAAGCGTTATTACCCTGTTATGGATTTGGGAACCTTCCCTCGGGCAACCACGCTCCTTTTGCTTCTCCGGGCTAAGGCATCCTCTAGCTTGCTCTGCATGAGTGCTCCCCGAGGGGCGTCCGAACGAACAGAAGTTGCTCAGCACCCTCTTCGGCCAAATCCCGTCCCGCCCCTCCCGCGCAGAGCTGAGCACCCGCTTCGCTTAGCGCAAGAGCGGGGCTTCCATATTCCCTCCTCCTCTCACCACTCGGTCTCTGCCCCGGTAGGTTTCCAATGCGAAGACCAGGTCACTGAAGGGGGTCACCGCCGCCATAGCAACACTTCCGGGTTGGCGTCTGTCGTCCAACCGCGTCATCTGGAGGCGAGTCGGGAGGGGAAGAACTACAAGTTCCAGGAACCAGCGCGCGAGCCGTTGGCGGGAGATTTGCCGTTGTTCAGAGGAGGATGCGGGGACGGTAGGGTGTTTTCAGAGAAGGGAGCGGAGGTAAGTAGCGTTGTGTGGCTGGGGAAGGAACGAAGGTAGTTGTAAAAAGGAAGAGTCTGTGTGTATGTATTTGTGCCTTCGAGTCAGTCTTGACTTCTGGTGTCTGCTGGGACAAGTCCCTGCAGTTTTCTTGGCCACGTTTTTCAGAAGTGATTTCCCCTCACCTCCTCCTCCTTAGGGTAGAGACAGGGCTGCTGGCCCAGAGTCACCCAGCTGGCCTTATGCCTAAGGCAGGACTGGAACTCACGGCCTTCCAGTTTCTAGTCCGGGACCTAACGCCAAAGTGGCGCTCTCGTGTGTGTGTGTGTGTGTGTGTGGTGGTGGTGGTGGGGTGTATGCGTAATTGAAATAGAGAGAGAAAACCTGCAGAAAGAACAAGCTATGGTCAATGGGACAAAAAGGAAGGCGAAAAGCAAATTAAGAAAGAGGAAGATAAAAATCCCTGTATACAAAGGAAATGAAAATAGCAAGAGGGAAGGGATAATAAGAGTATTATGTACATGCTTTAAACTACATGGTTGCACATTTGGGATTAAGGCAGTCAATACATTTTATACAAAGAAAAAAAAACAGGATAGTGCAAAAGACTAAATTCTCCTTTAGGAGAAAGCGATGGGGAGGCGAAGCAGCTCTGTAAATGTGTTCACAGCATGAAAAAGGAGATGAAGGAAGAAGAGGGAAATGACATCTTGTGGGAAATCGAAAAATAAAAGGTGGAAGGAACAAGTTTGTGAATACGTATATGTGCGATATCTGCAATGCAGGAAGATTCAGCAAGGGGAGGAAGAATGAGTGCAACAGAAAAAAATGTTTGGAAGGAAGAAAATGTTAAAAGGGGTGCAATAAATATTAAGAAAAAGAAAGATGCATAAAAGGAGAAAAGAAAATGTGTCTGAGAGGAATGAAAAAGAAAATATGCATATTAAAGAAGCAAAAGGGTGGGTAAAAATGTTTGCGGAAGAAAAGGTGGAGTGAATGAGTAGGGAAAGCAATATACAGTGGTACCTCGGATCACGAACTTAATTCGTTCCGCGACTCTGGTCGCGACCTGAATCAAATTTTCCCATAAGGTTCAATGTAATTATGGTTAATCCGTTCTGACCCCTATGAATTTGGTCGCCAACCGATTTTGGTGGCGTCCCGAATCAAATTTTCCCATAAGGTTCAATGTAATTATGGTTAATCCGTTCTGACCCCTATGAATTTGGTCGCCAACCGATTTTGGTGGCGTCCCGAATCAAATTTTCCCATAAGGTTCAATGTAATTATGGTTAATCCGTTCTGACCCCTATGAATTTGGTCGCCAACCGATTTTGGTGGCGTCCCGAATCAAATTTTCCCATAAGGTTCAATGTAATTACGGTTAATCCATTCTGG